GGGGGGGGGGGGGGGGGCAAGAGAGGGTATATACAACATTCTACATATATCGTCATGGCTTCTAACAGATGCCTGTGATTCAGCATGTTATGTGAATGTAGGCTATCAGTTTTTTATCAGAAAAATAATGTTAATTATATATATGACATTTTTCTGTAAGAGTGAATGTCAGCCCATTCACTTATATCTGAAAAAATAAAGGAATGGAAGCAGACAGCAGAAAGTTATGTTTTTAAAATCTGATTAAGTCTTAAATCCTTCCATGATTGTTTCCATAGTAGTGGCCTTTAACACTCCATGACATGTATTTCTGCAATTAGCTGGAAGAAGAAATTAAACCAACTTTCCACATAATGCTTAATATCTCATTTTATTACCAATAATATTCTTCCTTAGGCAGAACATGTTTCAGGAATGATTTGGAAGAAGTGCCTCAGACTTTTTGCAAGAACAGCACCTTTCTGCTATTCATTAAAGAAACCTGACCATTTTCAGGTTTCAATATGAATCTGAAAAAAAGATTCTGTGTTTTAAGGAATTGACTCTTAAAGCAGTTACAATGGTTTTTCAGGCCCATGCATTTCTGAAGCATGCATAGTCCTACTTTCCTCCACAGTTCAAAATAATTATTTAATAGTTACTCAACAGGTTTTGTCCAGCAAAGGTAACCTGCAAAGTTAATTTAATGTTTGTTTTATGTTTATATTAATGTTATATTATTATTGTTTAGAGCAGCTGAAGGGATATTCAGTCATCACTTATCGTTAGATCTATCAAATCTTTGTTTGCATGATCTGGATGCCCAAAGAAATAAAATGTTCCATATAGTGGTATGCTAATAAATGTATAGCAACCACCTCTGCCAGTTCGTTTGTTGCCACCATGCTGCAAGACGCCAAACAGCTGATCTGCATGCTAGATGTTGCAGCTCAGCTCTGCACTCAACCAGCTTGCAAAATTCTTGAAAATCCAGTAATCAGTTCTTATGAGCTGATATGAACTGGCTCCAGCACACCACTGGTTCCATACTTTCTGTTGTCTAAATTTTTATCATCAAGATCTCGTGGTCTGCCCATTGCAACAATATTAGTTCCAGTTATTTCAATCATTTCTTTCCTAGTCAATATTTCTTATTCATATTTTATATCATGTTTATGTCCTGATCTTCCTCTGAAGAGTTCACAATAATCTAAATGACATTGGTGAGGCTAGGAGACGATGACTGGATTCATGTATCATGTAATGGCATGGTAAATTGAATCAACCACAAATGGATGAGATTGCAAAATATTCAAAGCATAAATCATTATTTGCAAACCATAAAGTATAGGTTCACACAAAATCAATGAAACCGGGTTATAGTTTCATATTTTTGTGAATCCAGTCAAGAGAATTGTATGGAAGACACAGTATCAGGAAAGCACTACATTCACTCTTCAAGTCTTGCTAATTTTTCATTGGTGATGAAAGTTACCTGCATTTTGCTCCATGTTTTCTTTAACTGCATCTATCAATTCCTGTGCTTCTTCTATATTATCTCCTTCTTCTTCCTCCTCTTCTTCCTCTTCTGCCTCCTCTTCCTCCAGAGACTCTTCTACCTCTCGAGGAGCAACCATTTTCTCCTAGAGATTAAAATAAAATACCAGGAAAATTTGGACTAAATTTTGGTTCAACTGTGGAAAAATTAAAGCAACTTCACCCTGTTGTTTCTACATTCTATGATGTATTTGAGCAAAGGATCAAGAGAGCAGACATTGTAAAAAGTGTTGTATTTAATGAATTTAGGTTTTAAAATGATATATCCTTCTGAAAATATTCTAATTTGTCTCTTCTCCATCATCATCATGCATTGTGGCATGTTGTCTTTGGATGTATCTATGTGGAAACAGAAATTGTCCAATAATTTACTACTATATGTCATTAAGAATACTTGATAACCATAATCAGTTATCCTTTATTATTTATTACTCCTAAGATCTGCAGCCTGGACAAATTTTAGATTTGGCATTCTTGATGTAATTAGATCTTAAAAATAACCTACCAGCTTAGCAAGTCAATATTTTTCTTTTCATTCAGTATATTACATTTTTCCAGATACTTAAGATTTCAATTTTTTACCCATAACTGGAAGCAAATTCTATTGTTCTGAGGAGTGCATTTTAAAACTGGTATTCTGCTGGCACTCTACAATTACTCCTCCCCTTAGGCCTTTTTCTTCACTTAAATTTCACTTAGTTTTTTAAAGTAAAGTTTCACCTAATCTCAAATATACTTTCTCAGAAATAACCCTGCATTCAGTGAGACTTATTACCATGGTTTGCACAATACTCTTAGGCAGGTAGTCAGTTTGTCAAGAGAATATAAACTGCTATTTTATCCCCTCCCTGTCCTCTCTCCCCCCCTCATTTGGTTATTATGTGCAGCCCTTTAAACAAGTTCTTAAGATTGCCTTGGTGCAATACATGGATAGAATTATTGAGAAAACTCTGGTTAAAGATATGTATTCTGGAATATATAGCAACTGAATCATATGCTGACTACTTGGAATTTAACATGTTTCTGAACAACAATCGTTTTTTGTGCTTTAATAATAGCAAGAAGAATAATCTTTAGGAGATGGAAAATATTATAATTCCAGATATAAAGGATTGGATTTCAGAGATGTGTGATTTAGCAATTTTTGAGAAAATTATATATTTACTTAATCAGAAAATGTCACGTTATCTTTCCCTTTGGAAAAAAATTCTTGGATAGGCTTGCTCAACACTGAAAGCTTAGGTATTTTTTTTAGAGAGTTACTAGATCAGGTGAACTCGGGATACAGTTGTAATTACTGTTGTTTGTTTGCTTTTTAATGTATTTTCTTGGTAATGTTTTCTTCTTTTTTTGTGTGTATGTTAAAGTGTTCATTTTTATTTTATTTTACATTATTTTATGTCTGAATATGGATTAATAAAAATATCTGATAAAATTTAAAAATATCACCTAGGTGCACTGCAAACCTAGAGTAGGTACCAATTCAGATTTGCAAGAATTGGAATCTGAAATAATCAGCTGTTGTTGATAAGCATGGTTAAATAACATATTGACATCTTAGATTTTCTGGTTGGGAGAGCTTTTATTCTTTCCAACCTAACAGAAATTTGGGAAAAAATATGCAAAGAGGTTCAGGACTTTGTCCATCAATATGTTAACTCTCTGAAAAAAGAAAAGTATGGTGCCAAATTTAGTATTTGATGGGGAGAACGGGCAAAATGAATATCAAGTTTGAAAATGGTCTGGATGCATCTGAAGGCTGCAGAGAAAAGAATACTAGAAAAAAATTCCCCCATGCATCCCTATGGAAGAAGCAGTTAGGCAGTTCCTGTCACAACTGACTCTGAACAGTCTACATACCAAATAAAGTAATAAGGTTTTTTAAAAAATACATAATCAAGTTATCTCAGGGACCACCAAACAACTACTCTATATAAACACTCCCCTTGCAAGAGGGATCAAAATCAAACATATCAGACCCCTCCCTTCCCCCCAAGGTTTGCTGAAAATGCTAGACTTTAATTCCTTAATTGCAAAGAGTTAACTAACTTTAGTTGTACAAATACATTCTTGACTATTACCAAAACCTGTCCATCCAAATTCACGGCTGAGTCTAAATGCATACCCAAGCTGCCAGCCTAAATATTCATTAGAAGTATGATACTATCAAATACAGTTTGAATTCCTATTCCCTGATTGGTTTTGCAACCCGAATTGGGAACCAATTGTCATGTCTGCATTGCCCTTATCCAGTCCAGGCTCACACAAGTGATTTAGACTTTGTACAAATCCAACTTTGGATGATTGTGCCAATAAACTTTAAAACAGATCTTTAAACTTTAAACTGGATCTCTATGTTAAATTTAAAGGAACATTTAAGATCTATTATTTTAATTTTTATTCTTAAGTCTATTAATGCTGATTTTTATTCTATCACACTTTTATAATAACATGTAGAATAATGAAACAGCCCACAACATCAGTGATATGCTTACCAGATTTTCTATGGCTTTAGTGATCACGTCCTTTATTTTAATATGGTGCACTTTGTAATATTTGCATAGCTCTTCTGCAATGGAAGTTTTCCCTACTCCAGGAGGACCAAGTATACACATTTTAAGTGGCTAAAAGAGAGAGGATTTAAGCATGCCTATTTATTAATTATTCTTCATGCACCATGACCAAAATTAAAATGAATAAGTATACAATCTTTTACTCAAGTTCTATTGGCTGAAGGATTACAGAGTTTAGAAGAATTCTATGTTGGTGTATTACTAGGCTTGTTGCATCATGATAGACTGGCTGGCAGAACACTGCCACTGTAGTTCTGCCAATTAAGACATAGTGGCAGAATGATTAAAATATGGCAATCGTGAATAGGATGAAGGGAACTGCAAAGGAGACCACCACTTATGGTACATTGTATAGTCCCATCAGGCCATGGCATGCCCCCCAAATAGCACAAATTCATACCCACCCAAGTGGGGAAATAGCTCTATCCATGCTGACTGGTCCATCCATGGCTATAAGACAGCATAGGATACAGTATAATTGAGGGATGGACAACTTCTGCTGTAGGGCCACATGTACCCCAAGTTCTATTTTTGTAGCCCTCAGAGGACTGCTGATTGACTGCTGAAAACCAGTAACATGGTTTTTTACCAATGGAGGTGGGAAACACAGGAAAGCTGCAGTGTTAGCCTTAGAACAGGCTTATCATGGTTAAAAGAAAAAAAAAATCAACCCCAACCAGCCCCACCCACATGTGATGGGGTCCCACTCAATTTCTGTTGATAAATAAAAGTTGCCTGACTCTGACATAGTTGAACAACCATATGCTAAGATCAGAATCCACATCATACGATTATATTTCTATGATCTAAGACTAGACAAATGTATAACCCAGAGAATTTTAGTCAACAGAAGACAGGGAGAAAGGGCACTTTACATAAAAAGGGAACTCTAATGCAGATAGGAAGTACTTAAGTACATTCCACACAATTTAAATCAAAACCAAGGATTAAAAGAAAGATCTTTAAAAGCCAACTATTATATAAGGTACATCTGTTGAAATTGTCTCCCATATGTGGATATATGCCACACTCAATTTACAGCTGGGAGGAGAGAGGAAGGGCTGATGAATCTTGCTGGGAAGCTATTTATAAGAGCTGGACCACTGAGCTAAATGGGGGGGGGGGGGGATTAAGGGTTGGTCATACAAATTACCAGGAACAGTGATGGCTTTCAATGGGCTGGTTAATCCATAGAGGGCCTACACAATTGATTCATGCAATATTCTTGATTGAATCAGATATGTTTGGGTAGTGAGGAACTTCTCTCTGTCTTTCCTAATGTGAATTTGAATTTGAATGTAAGCCTTTAGGCTCATATACTTGGTCTGGACAAAGACAGATGCTCTATTTCCTGTCTACTAGAATGTTCTAGTTCCTTTTTTTTGTTTTTTTGTTTTTTGTTTATCTACAGGATCAGTAATTAGAAAACTCATTAGGTTTGTTCCTTTTGTAGATGGCTTTGAGTGTTGGCAAGTCTCTGACTGATTGATTTTGGCTATGTTTCCAGTGGTATTTTGAGGTGGTTACCGCTTTTATATTGTTTTTTTGGGTTTTGAACTGTCACTTCTTCCTGCATCCCAGAGTTAAGCAAATCTAGAATTGTTCCACTGATATAGGAGCACTATATCTTCTCCAATATATTGGAATGTGGGATTTGAGATATTTTTATAGGTAATTGGTTGAGCAATGCAATCCTAAGCAGGTTTACTCAGAAGTAAGTCTGATTCCATTCAGAGAAGCTTACTCCCATGTTAATACAGTTCAAATTGCAGCCTACAATTGATATATAAATATGTTTTCTCCAAATTGTACAGGAAATAACAGTTCACAGTTCACTCATGCATTGCTAGTATACATTTCCATTATTTTTACCAGTAATCCTCGAGTTTGTTTATACTCATTGACAACTTGTTCAATATTCTCTACTATCCCTCCTTGAGCAACCCATTTTATGTTGAAATTCTCCTTCAAGAATACAGCTTCCATTCGCAGATTCACAAATAATTCATCCAAATGTGTTTGCTGAAGGAAGTGCAAGAAACTGTTATTAACTGTATTTATAAACTACCTTTCTGCACAGCATATGGCAGCATATTTAATAACAAGTATTACAAAATTAAATTTTAAAATGCAAATGTATAACAAAAAAGGGTAAAACAACACTTTCCTAAATGCCTAATATATTATAAACATCTTAATCTGGAAATCAGAGAAAAAATCATGAGCTTTCTCCAAGATACAACTGAGAAAATCCTACTATGTGCTATCTCTTTCTTCACAGTGGAATGGAACTTAAGCAAGACAACAGAGGCAGATCTTAAACTCAGGGCAGGATGACATAGTGAATAATACAAAAAACAATAATTGCTTCTGATATTTGGGATTCAGAATTTGAGTTACAGGATATGGATTTTTAAAAAGAAGCTTTAAAGGAATGTTTCACAGTGGAGTATTTTCTCTGCAGCTTCTACAGGTAGTACTCACTTAACAATTGTTTGTTTAACAATGGTTTGACATTACAACAGCCTTGGAAAAAGTGCTTTACAACCTGTACTCACACTTATGACTGTTGCAAACCATCACACATACACACATGTGGTCACATGATTGCGATTTGCGACCTTTTTATGATGGTCATTAAGCGAATCACTGCAGTCATTAAGCAAATCACACAGTCATTAAGCAAATCACATGGTTGTTAAGTGAATTCTGGGAAAAAAAGTCCATTGGGGAACCAGGATTTGCTTAACAACCACATATTCACTTAATGATGTGGTGATTTGCTTAATGACCATCATAAAAATGGTTGTTAAGTTGGGTCCGGTCATGTGGCGACTTACTTAATGACCACCCTGCTTAACGATCAATTTTCCAGTCCCTATTGTGATCATTAAGCGAGGACTACCTGTATTAGACAAGCAATGTTACTGATGTACTAGTTTACGCTTACAAAGCATGTCTACATGCATACATTCATTTTGTTTTTTTGGCAACAATACAGAAGTGGTTTACCATTGCTTTTGTACAAAATAGTTTTTCAACTTCCCAACCTATCCTATAGCCCTGGAAACTCCTGATGTTTTTCCCCTCACTGAATAATTTAAAACTAATCTAGAGACCAACCAGAGTCAGCTGGAAACTGTCACCTGCTGTGACAAAGTCCATTACATTATACCAACATGAAAGTTACCAAGGCACATGACTGATAATTAGGTTTAGCTTTTGGGGTTCGTAAGAAATGAATAAATGGAAAATTATTATAAAAGATGGAAAGTGTTGCTTATACATTTAACTGATTCCTCACATTCTCTCAAATAGATCCCTTTTTCCCCCCTCTCCTTTTCTGCTGGTTAGAAGTCTGAGCTGTTGACCACATTGGATACCCTTAGGGACAGGAAATCTTATTTTTAAAGGGCAGTACACTTTTTATTTTCCTGTCATTGTAAATACCAGTTTTAATCCTGTCTTGATCAATCTCTGCCCAAACCTGCTATATGACATGGGAAGGAAACTGCAACCAGTTAACTTCATTTATTTATCAAATTTACACAAGGTTACTCAACTCAATGATGATTCTGGACAGCATAAAATATTAAAAACAGATTGAAATAGATATACAATGAGAAAAAATATGATGAATATCCAGAATAGAACGACAAACATCTGATCTGACATAACAACATTCCAACAAGTGGCCCACCACCCAACCTAGCCCAAGATTTTAAGGGCTTATTTAAATGAAGTCAATGTAGGAGCAATATGAATCTCTTCTTCAACATGATCTATTGTTAGATATTATCCTTTCTAGCAGAAAATATTCAAAAAGATAGAAGTACCGTTAATTCTTTGTTTAGGAAAGCATTTTCTTTTGGAATCTTCTGTATTTTTCCTGGACCCACATTTTTGCTGATGCACTTATAAAGAAAAACAACAGCTGAGTTTTAAATCTACCACTAATAAACAATCATACAGAAAAAAAACCCAAGCATTGTTTATTAACTTGTAAGCCATAAGATTATAACATTAACACTAAATATTGAATGGGGCTAATAAACAAAGCATAATCCACCAAAAATTATTTTTTGCTATCCCTGCAATTCCTGCTGCAGATTGTAGAAGCTGCCACCATAAATTAAGCAACTTCTTTGTAATAAATGTTTTATTATACAGAAATAAGTTAGATTTATATAGTAAAATTCTACATTTTTAGTTACAGATGTGATCCAGACACATCCCTAAATTGTGTATCTGCTTTTTGGATAGGCATTCAGGAGATTTATCATCTTTCTAGGATTGTGATCCTGTGACAATAAGCACCTTCTTGTCTGGTTTCATGTTTAATGTATTCTTCTTTTAATCTATTACTCATTTCAGGCAGGCATTCTGGGAAGGTACACAATTATTTGTAGGAATTACACAGAACTAGATTTGGGTATCCTCAGCATACTGTTAACATCCAGCTCCAAATCTCCTGAAGATCATTTCCAGGATTCTTATGTAGATATTGAAAAGCATTAGAGACAGATGGGAGCTCAAAGGAACTTCATACAATAGATCCTCTTTCAACAAATGCCTCAAAATAACACCACTACAAATTATTTGACAGGAATAGAACTACTGCAAAGCAATGTCTTCCATTCCCATATCTCTCAGGTGGTCCATAAAGTTAGTGGTTGATAGTACTAAAAGCCACTGAGAGGTCAAGAAAAATCAAGGAAGTCACACACTTTCTGCCTAAGCAAAAGCTCATCCATCAGGCCCAGCAAATGAGACTCTACCCTATAAACAGTTTTAAAGCCAGTTTGAAATGGGTTAAGATAATCTGCTTGACTTCAATATTCAGCAGCTCCAATCAGGTAATACTCAAGGAAGCTTACAATAGAGTAATAGTACACATTTATAAATCCAAATCCCACACTATCAAAGAAATCTTAACTCTCTGACCAATGGATGTCATCTGATTGTGCTTCCTTTCAGCTCACTGGTCCCAAGGTAACTGTTAGTTGATATAGATATTTTTTTAACAGGGAAGAATCACACTCTCAGAGGTTATTCCTTCTCTGTTTGCTTACTGAAATTAGGTTGCCCATACCATGATTTGGGGGGAGGGGGCGGGAGAAGCGGACATTTGGAAGGGGTAGGTGCAACCTCCCAGTGGTCCTGGTTTCTCTGACAGCAGCAGAAGCCAAAGTGTTCTCCCCTTTAGCTCTATAAATCACAGATTTATGTCACAGTAATTTCATTTGTCTTCTATATGCCACATCTTTTTATTTGTATTTAGAATAAAGGTTATCAAAATGTATTGCATACCATGAAGGTAAATATGACAGTCAAAATTCTTCAACCACTTTACCTTCACAATTTCACTCAGGGTTTGTGTTGATTCATCCACTGCAAGTAAGTAATTAGTCCTTGGTCTATGATCTGCTATATTCTGCAACACTCTAATGTGAATGAATACATAGAATATACAGTGAATACATAGTATACAGTGAATATATAGAAGTGAGGGAATAATAATTTAGTACTTCCCCATAACTCCTGAATATTTGATTCACTAGGATTTGTAGATTCAAAAGAGTAATGCTGGAGTATGTGTGTGTGTGTGTGTGTATGTGTGTGAAGTAGAAGAATAGACAAAACATTGCATGGCCTCCCATTATTTCCAGTTGTGAAAATCTCTACTAGACTGAGAATGGAAAGGGGCTTTTGGTGAACAGAAGAATTCTCCTATTCACAGGAGGATATCTGACCCAATGTCTTTAAGTAACTAGGGATATCCCTTCCATATTAACACTCTATACCTATTGTTTACAGATGATTAAATCAGATAATTAATTGCATCATTTCATGAAAGTTTAGCTCTTAACCAAAGACATAAAAGTTTTTATTTCTTAAAGTATTTGGCATTAGGCAACGTTCCTTTTCAGGGATGTCTTTAAAATGCAGGAATCTGTAAATTAATAAAACAATTTGGAAACCTACAAATAAGCTTAAAGCTGGGTTATATTAACTGATTCTCTTTAATGAATGTGAAGGGAGAATCCTATTAGTTTCAATAATACTACAGGGAAGACATCAGCAAAATTCTGAAGTTCTGGGGTATAGCCAAAAAAAGTGTACTTACGCTGCTAAGTCAGTAATGTGAATGGTAGGAACCACATTTCGTCCATCTCCAAAACAGGGTATTGCAGGAGTCTCACCAAGCCAAGATAACTGCAAATATTTACAAAGTAACTTTGTCTTTAGTATGTTTTGTATCATACCCTTAACATGTTAACTTATCAGTTAAAGGGGACAAATTAATTACATGTTTTAAAGGACTTGACTCTACATCTGGTTTAAGGTATTATAAACGGCCATTAAATGACAAGAAATTACAAGTAGAAATGGGTAGAGAAAATGCATGATTGCAAAACCTATTTTCCAATAAGCTTATTCTTTTAATGCAACTTTGTCACATAGCAGAGAATATTAATGGCTTCTCATGCTATGAAAACAGGCTTTTTTATGCATGGGAAAGGTAGATTAGGAGCCATGAATGGGAATACCTTAGAAAAGGAGTACAAAATTGTTTTTGGGTTGAAGGTAGCGCTTGGTCATGAATGGCTTGTTGTGAACCATATTTCAAAAATAGGTAAGCCAAAATAAGTAGATTGTGCCAGGACAGGAATAAATGTTTTAATGTAGTTAAAACTACATGTAGTATAATTAATAAATACAGTATAATTCAGTGGCAACTTCTGAAAGCCTCTAGGGTTGTATTTAATGATTTGGGGGGCCCTGCAGTTTCAGATAATGTCTCTCTCCTTTACATCTAATGCCATCTCCAGGTTTAAAGAAGCTCCATTAGAAGGCTGTGGTGGGCTTACCTAGTCATTCTAATCTGGTAGGTCTACCAATCATTTTGATTTCCCACAATGTCCTTAAGGTAGTATTATTCCATAGCATTATGGGAAATTAAAATGGAAGCTAAATTCAGCTGCACAGTGGAGCTTAAAGCATTGCCCTAAATATTTAAAAAGCTGTATTTGTATGCATACCAAATCAAAAGTAGGCAACCACATTTTATATTAACATGTGGTTTATATAAGCCCATGTAGTTAATTTATAGCTCAGAATGCTATGTGAATCCAGAAAATTTGATCAACTGAATAAACCATGTGTAAGTTAAACTCAGGTAAACAAGTAATGTAAACAGAGGTAATAGATCTTGCAATTGTACAAGGTTGCCAAGTGGTGATATCAGCCTTGACTATTCCACCTTTGATTGAACATAACTTGGCAGTCTGAGATAGTTTCAGCATTTTTGTATAGTTGCTATATTTTATATTCCAAAGGAGACAGATTAGGCTACTATCATAATAGTAGAGGGGCCTGCTACTGGCAAGCATTGGTGCAGGTTCTTCTTCTGTAAATGTATTGCATCACATTAGTCCCACACATGGAAACATGTCCTATATTTCAAAGGAGAAAATGGGGATACCTTTATGTCTTGTGACACCTCAGTTCAAATACCAATATATTGCTATGAAAATTGCAATTCATACCCAACTTGCCCTAAAAACATTCTTAAAAGGTGTTCTCAAAGCTGATCCAAAGCAAAATAGGTATTGTCTTTGGTATACAGGGACAACTGGAATATATGGAATAAGAACGCTGGGCAGATGAAAAAGGTTCTGCTCATACAACATACTAACCCACTGTTAAGTGTAACCTGGTTATCTGAATTAGTCAAATTGATATGTGATCCCAGCCCTATGGTTTGCAAATCAGACTGTATGTGTTCAGCATACTGTGGGAACACAATTGTAGTTTATTTCATACACTGTGGTTAAATAAACAATGGTTTACTATGTGGTAAAAACCTAGCTAGGAGAGTCAACCACAGCCTGGTGGGCCATTTCGTACATACAGTGGTGCCTCAGGTTACGAACGCCTCTGTTAACGAACTTTTCGGGTTACGACCAGCTCCAGCCGCAAAAAATTGCCTCAGTTTGCGAACTCCGCCTCGGGATACGAACAGGATATGCGGCCATTTTCCCTCCCGTGACATGGTCCGCGGCCATTTTTCGCCCTTGATGCGTGGTCCGTGGACGCCGGAACAGATTAACGGTAATTATGTTGAACCTTATGGGAAAATTTGCCTCGTGTTGCGACCAATTCGAGTTGCAACCAGA